ATCATCAGTATCATCATCATCCCATCATCATCATCAGCATCAGCATCATCATCAGCAGCATCATCAGATCATCAGCATCAGCATCATCATCATCATCATCATCATCATCATCATCATCATCATCATCATCATCATCATCATCATCATCATCATCATCATCATCATCATCATCATCATCATCATCAATCGTCATCAGCATCAGCAGCAGCATCATCACAACATCAGCAAAATCAGCATCATCAGCATCATCGTCATCATCATCATAATCAGCATCGGCATCGGCATCAGCATCAGCATAATCATCAGCATTCTCATCAGCGGCATCGTCAACATCGCCATCATCATCCGCATCAGCATCGTCATCATAATCATCATCATCATAATCATCATCATCATCATCAGCAGCAGCATCATCATCATCATCATCATCATCATCATCATCATCATCATCATCATCATCATCATCATCATCATCATCATCGTCGTCATCGTCATCGTCATCATCATGAGCACTATCACCATCATATGCATCATCCTAATCACTATCATCAGAAGCATCGCCATGACCGTTTCATCATCAACATCATCATCACATCCGCATGCCATCATAACCGCCATCATAAAAAAACACCAGAATCATGATCTGCATCATCGTATTCGTATTCAGCGTCATCATCATCACAATCAGAACTACCACAATCATCATCATCATAATCAGCATCGTCTTCAGCATCATCATCAGCATCGACATCACCACCACCATCACCAGCATATCATCATCAGGATCATCATCATCATCGCAACGTTCATCGTCATCATCAACAACAGCATCATCCCCATCAGCAGCATCGTCATCATCAACACCAGCGCCACGACCACCATTATCATCAACGTGATACGCACGGTCATCATCACCAGCATCGCCGCCAGCATCATCAACATAATGATCAGCATCATCATTAGCGGCACCACCAGCATCATCAGCATCATTAACATCCTCAGCATCACCATCAGCATCATCAGCATCATCACCATCATCACATTCGTATCAGCGTTAGCACCTTCGTTGCCATCATCATCATCCGCATCACCATGAGCATCACCATCATCCGCACCAGCCTCAGCATCAGCATTATCCGCAGTATCATCATCACCACCAGCATCGTTGACAGCATCCGCATGATAATCATGAGCATGATCAGCATCACCGTCATCATCGTGATCAGCAGCATGAGCACCACAATCAGCATCATACACATCGTCGACATCGTCAGTCAGCAGCATCAACAACCGCATCAGCATAATCATCAGCAGCAGCATCAACTGTATCATCACCACAGCATCGTTGTCGTCGCCATCGGCATCATCATCATCATCAGCATCATCAGCATCATCATCAGCATCGTGGCCATCACCGTTGCAAAGAGTATGTACACATACGTATCATCAGCACCGTTAGCATCATCATCAGCAGCAACATGATGTTCAGCATCATCATCATCATCATCATCATCATCATCATCATCATCATGATCATCATCAGCAGCAGCATCGAAAGTCACCACCCGCACCATCATCATCATCATCATCATCATCATCAGCATCATCACCATCTCGAACAGCATCCTCAGCATCATCATCACCATCATGGGCATCATCTGCATCATCATCCTTGTCATCCGCATAATCTGCATCATCAGTACCAACGTCCACAGTATCATAATCAAAATTATCATCACAATAATGTGAGTCCATGCAATCATCAGCAACACCCTCATTACCATCCTCATAATAAGTATCAACAGCGTCATCATGATCAACAGCATGAACAGACTCATCGTCGTCAACAAAATGTGCTGTATCCTCATGGTCCCTGTCACGATATGTCAATGCTGACCATCATAATCGTTATCATCATAGTCATCACCATCATCATCAGCAGCAGCATCCCCATGATCAGTATCCCCATCATGTTCCTAATCATGATCACCATCCTCATCATCAGCAGCATCACATTCATCATAATCATCATCATCAGCATCATCACCATCTCCTCCCCTCATCATAATCAACCTAGTCATCCTTCAGTACATCACACTCATACTTATCCTCCTGGTCCTCATTTCGCCCTTCCATTTCATTCGCATCGTCTCTCATCCACAGTGTCGTGTATCCCACAGATGCCTCCTGAACGACTCCCCATCCCTCCTCTCCCCTCCGTGCTTGTACCCTTGGATCCCTGCTTCTTATCCTGTTCACCAGACTCCGCTCCTCTCCCTCGTCCCCCTCCGCGTCCTCCTCCTCTTCGCCATCCCCGGCCTCCTCATCCTCGCCCCACTCCCGATCCCCCCCCGCGTTCCCCCACCCAGCTTCCACTACCATCGGGTCGGGCGAAAGGGGGGGATAGCAAAGGGGGGGGTTCGAGAATCAGCTCACGTAGCTGATTCTCCCGGCGCCTCCCGGCGCCGGAGGCGGCCATGTATCGAGGGATGGGCCCCTCGGTGAGGCCGAAACCAGCTGCATGCAGCAGATTTCGTACCCCCACCTTTCCACATCTCCCCCTTTCGTCCGGCCCGACACTACCACTGGCCCGCTCGTCTCCCTGGACCGGCCGCCTCCCCCCGTTGCACCCCCCGAGTCCGGCCACCGCCGCAGCGCGAGGAGGCCCATCTACGCATCCACTGCCCCAGGCCTGCTGGGCCCAGGAGCTGGCCATCGCTCGGGCGTCCATTCCCTGTGTATGTCTCGGTTTCGTGCGTGGTTTTTTCGGCAAATCATCAAGGATGCTCTTCGATGGTCCTCGCCGAGGAGAAAACGCACACGCCCGAGCGATGCCAGGGGAGCGGTGCACGTGCACCCTGGCCAAGCCTCGAGGGGCGTACACGCCGCTCCCGGGCCCCTGGAGATGGGCCAGGCCTGGGGCAGTGGCTACGTACGTATAGATCCCCCGGCCTGACCTCTGAGCCCCTCGTCCCTCGTCGCCCTTCTGCTCACCCTCCTCCTCCCGCTCTCCTCGCCCTCTTCATCCCTCACGCCCCCAAGGTCGCCCGACTTCCCGCGCCGCGCTCCGCGATGCGCGACGCGCGGCTCGCTTCGCGCACTCGCGGGGCCACCTCGGAGAAAGGCAGCTGCCCGGCCGAGGCCGCGCCGCGCGCGGCGCGGTTGTCCTCGTGCCCTCTAGGGTTGGACGCAGGTCGTCCTGTTCTTTCGCTGCATCGTGCTTCCCTGAACACACACACACACACATGCATGCATGCATGCATGCATACATACATACATACATGCATACATACATTTATACACATCCGAAGATCCCCATACTTTCCATCTTGGCTTGGTTCTCGCCTTCCCCACTCCACTTCCCATATGTTCCCATGCTTTCATGGGAACGGACGGCACATGTGTGTCTGTTGTTTTCCCTCATGCGTTCGCCCTTCCTCTCCGATACCCCATCTGCCTCCGCCTCTCCCGTCCCTTGACTTGTCTGCGCAACGGGGGTCGCGTCGCTCATGTTGGCAAGCTTGGATTGGCGATACTTCTTCGCGGCACTACGTCAGAGTGAGGGAGCCGAATGGTCTTACAGCCGGACCTAGGACAGAAAAACATCGTTCAAGAACATGAAGCCCTCCACCGGCCAAACTGAAGTACATTCGAGGGTACACTCCCCCAGGATGCACCAAAGGATCAAAGAAACACGAAAACATTAGGGTACCCACCGCTGACCGACCTCGATCTTGTACCTCGGTCCGACGACTGTGCACCCTCCCTGGGTGCGTGGCTGTAGTGGGGGGGGTCCGCGATGCGGATTGAACTAACCAACATACCGACAGTCAGGTCAAGGCGACAGGCAGGCAACGAGGCGGCGACGAGGCGGCGACGGCCACAACATAGCTGCCAAACCGACAGTCAGGCCAAGGCGACTGGCGGCGACGAGGCGGCGACTAGTCGGCGACAGCGACAACATAGCCGCCACACCGACAGTCAGGTCAAGACGACGGGCGGCGACGAGGCGGCGACGAGGCGGCGACGGCGACAACATAGCCGCCAGACCGACATTCAGGCCAAGGCGACGGGCGGCGACGAGGCGGCTTCGGCGACGACATATCCGCCAGACTGAGACTCAGGCCCAGCTCTTCAGAAGAATCAATAAGAACTCCTGAGTGCGCAGCCTTCGAAGAAGAAGTAAGAACCACTGAGTGCAAGCACCGTGTTGGAAAAAACTGCGTAAACATAAACTGACGGAGGTTCGCGCGGATTTATTTCTTGGATCGGCGCTGGCCTCCCCTCCCTGGCGCGCGGAGCGCGCAAGGGGCGGCGCCGGAGGCGCCAGGGGTCTCCAGCGCAGACTCGAGAAATCCTCGCAGATTCCCGAAAGGGTTATCTGTATGCAATGTGTTATGATTCGACTTCATCTTCGTGCCGTTTCTTGTGTGTTCGGTCCACACTCCGTCGCCCACCCCCACTCCCGCCAGACCAGATAAGACAAGATAAGATTACCAGCCTGGAACATATCCCTATCCCTGTGTTGGGCATCGCCTCGTCACGATGGCGATCTTAGGGATTTCCTCAGTTTCTGAGGGTGCATCCCTAAGATTGTCATCTCCCTTTTGGCGTGTCAATCTTAGGGATAGGGAGACGTTCGAGGCTGGCGAATAAGACAGCGCCTTGAGAAAGGTCGGACAGTGATCACTCCAAGGACCAGCAAGGTTCCGGAAGCCATGCCGGCTGAGGATTCGCTCCTCTGGCCCTTCGGACACGGCTCGGACCGCCAGCGAGTCGCTCCGAGGCGAGCCGAAACCGCACCGCCGCGCCCGGCTCTGGCCGGCGCCGGCCGATGCCCGTGCATCGATCCGAATCGGGCGGGCGGTCATGGGGGGGGGCCCAAGAAGGGTTGGCGGTGCGCAGAAGGGGGTGGAGCGAGGGGGGAGAGCTTCTTAGAAGGAGGATGCTTCTTAGAAGGCGCCGGCCTTACATCTATAGATAAGGCCCGCGCCTTCTAAGAAGCAGGGGTGCTTCTAAGAGGCCCTCCCCCTCCCCCCACCCCCCTCTGCGCGTGGCAGAAAGGGGGCTGAAAAGACAGGCCCTCAATGGGGCTCTTCAGGGCCCCTCTTGGGCACCAGCTGGCTCCAAAGAGCGCCCCACAGGGCCCCTGGAGGGCCATGTTCTGCACCCCCCCTTTCGGGCCACCCCCCATGACCACCCGCCCGACCGAATCGAATCGGGTCGGAATCTCGGGAGCGGCCAAGAGGGGGGTGTCCCAGAGGGGGGGTGCAAATCATGACCGGCGGCACGTGCGCGGCCCAGCGGGGGGGCCAGGGACGCAACGAAATAAGAAGAGGCGCCATGAAATTTGGGGAAATATCATGGCCCACGCCATGATATCCACCCCCCCCCTAGTCATCACCCCCCTCTTTTCCGCCCCCGAATTTTCTGGGGGATCGACGATTCATTGTGTCTCTGTGTCTTTCTCCCTCCTGAGGGGTGGAAGCGAGCAGGAGGAGGAGGAGGAGGAGAAGGAGGAGCAGAAGAAAGAGGAGGAGAAGGACGATGATGATGAGGAGGAGGAGGAGGAGGAGCAGGAGGATGAGAAGCAGGAGAAGGAGGAGGAGGAGGAACCCCCTCTTTTCCGCCCCCGAGAATCGCGGCCCCAGCCAGCGAGTCGAGTCGCATCGGATCGGACCGCGCGCGGCCCCGGGCGGCGCGGCGCTTGCCGGCCGACCGAATCGAATCGGGTCGGAATCGCGGCCCCAGCCTGGCCATCGCTCGGACGTCCATTCCCTGTGCTTTCTCCGGTTCCGTGCGTGGCTTTTCCCGCCACATGATCAAGGATGCTCCTCGATGGTCCTCGCCGAAGGACACATGCGAGGGCGGCCCCTCAGACAGAGCGAGGCTCTGCCTTTTCCTACTCGTCCTCCTCCGACTCCTCCTCCTCCTCCTCCTCCTCCTCCTCTTACTCTCCATCTACTCTGCCTTCGCATTTTTCTTCGCCTCGTCCTATTCCTCCTGAACGATCCCTCCTCCTCCTCCTCCCGCCTGGGGGCCCCTTCTGCGTCGGCCGCCCTCGCCGCCCTCGGTCCGAGCGATGCCGAGCAGCCGGCGAGTCGGGTCGCATCGGCTCGGACCGCGCGCGGCCCCGGGCGGCCGAGGCGCTTGCCGGCCGGCCCGCCCCCAGGAGGGGCGCCTGGCGCCGACCCCGGGGACGCCTGGCGCTCGTAGCCCGCGGGCGCCTGCGGGAGGAACGAAAGGCTAAAGGGGCCCTGGGGCGCACAAATAAGTTTACGGCAGGTTCGTGTTGTGTCGACCCCGGCGTTGGTTCTCGACTCCGCGGGGATCGTTCAAACATGAACGATCGGCCGTTCCCGAAACGTCAGGATCGTTCAACATCGGCCGATTCAGGGCCGCCGCCGGCGTTCAACGTTGATTGATTGCGGCCGAGTCGCCGCCGGTCGACACGACTCGAACCTACCGTACCAGCCTCGAACGTATCCCTACCCCCAAGATTGAAACGCCAAGAGGCGATGACAATCTTTAGGGGTTCGCCCTCAAAACATGGGGGAATCCCGAAGATTGGCATTGTGATGAGGCGATGCCCAGCTTAGGGATAGGGATATGTTCCAGGCTGGCAATAAGTAGGGATATGTTCCAGGCTAACGAGGCCCTGGGACACACAAATAATGGAGGGTGACGATTAATAAATGACCGGGGGTCGTGTTCACGCGGCGGCGCCCAGGATGACGATTAGAAAAAACCGGCCGCGGGCTGGAAAAAGGTTCAAGAGGCCCTGGGACGCACAAATAAGTTTACCGGCCTCGAACGTATCCCTACCCCTAAGATTGACACGCCCAAAGGCGATGACAATCTTTAGGGGTTCGCCCTCAAAACATGAGGGAATCCCGAAGATTGGCACTGTGATGAGGCGATGCCCAGCTTAGGGATAGGGATATGTTCCAGGCTGGTAATAAGTAGGCCCAGACATGATCGCGCCGAACACACAAATAATGGAGGGTGACGATTAATAAATAACCGGGGGTCGTGTTCACGCGGCGGCGCCCAGGATGACGACTAGAAAAAACCGGCCGCGGGCTGGAAAACTATTTTTGTGATCGTTCTCCTCCAGTCAGAAAATGGTGCAGAAATAACAGAACCTATTGTTTGAATCGTTCTCTCCCATTTTTAATTAATCGTCATCCCGCATCAAGTAGGCCCAGACATGATCGCGTCGAAAAAAAAACAGGACGGGAAGGTGTTGGCCGAATTGTCGGCCTCGCGGAGGCCCTCGCCGGCCCTCGGGACCGTCGGAGAACGACGCAGGACGAGAAAAAAAAAAAAAAGGTCCCAGGGAAGAGGTCGGAACTTCCGGGGCCGCCGTCCTGAAGAAACATCAAGGCGTCGCATGCCCCAGGACGCCCCCATGTTCTCCCACCTTTTCGGGGCTTTCGCCTTCCCCACCCCAGGTTCCCATGGCTTCCCAGATCTCCCTAATTAAAGCTCCCGTCTTCTTTCAAGCCAAAATCATTGATTGTACTAAGGTTTTGGCCCCATTTTGGCCTTCTGAGGGGGCAACGCTAATTAAAGCTCCCCTCTTCTTTGACAGATTTCCTCCAAGATGGCCCCAAGAAGCGCCCAGGAGGCACCAAGAGGCCCCAAGATGGCCCCAAGAGGCCCCCAGGAGAGGATGAATGGTGCCTGTGTGTGCGCTCTCCCCTCCTGAAAGGCTCCTGCCGTGAGATCTGTCCACGATGCGAGGGGCCCCGGGAGGAGGAGGAGCTCTGGGCGCACCACGGCGGGTGGGAGCCGACGCTGCGAAGAGAAGCGCGGCCTCGCGGAAGGTCGTGACCGAATCCCTTCCTGCGACCTTGGCTGTTGATGCGACTTCGTCATGCAGCTCTGGGCGCATCACGGCAGGCTGCGGAGAAGAGGCCCGCAATCATCCTCGCACGACCCTGGGAGCCGACGCGGCGAACAGAAGCGCAGCCTCGCGGAAGATCGTGACCGAATCCCTTCCCGCCGCGCCTACTCTGATGATGGTCCGACTTCGTCATGCGGCTGGACCTGGGACAGAGGAGCCTCTCCTTCGAGAACGCGAGACCCTCCGCCGGCTAAGAAGCACCCCGAACCACCGGATCACTCGAGGGCATCTCCCAGACCCCCGACGTCATGATTTTTTCATTACGTCGACCCCCAGAGGTCCCGACCCCTTCCCCAGGACCGGTTTGTCATCCTGAGTCGTTTTTTGACGCGCCCGAGGCCCGGTGAGGGCCCCCAGAGGCCGAACATGGCGAAAAACCTCCCGTCGTGATTTTTTCATGACTCGAGGGGGTCTGGGCTCCCCCCAGGGTGCACAAACATCCAACGAGCACGAACAGCACCAGCGTACCCTCCCCGCACCGACCTCGATCTTCGACCTCGGCCCGACCGCAGCCGCCCCGCGCTGGCCCCGCGGCCCGAATTCCGCGCGAGACCGCGCCAGCTGCCGCGAGGGAGCTGCGGCGCCCGGGCACCTCGGGGCTGCCGCACGGCGCGAGGCGCCCGGGCTCCTGCCACCGCTCGGAGGCCCACCCCCGTGCATCCGCTCGGCCTCGCGCGCGCTTCCTCGGGCGAGCGCGTTCCACTGCTCGCGAAGCAGCCGCTCCAAACGGCCTGGATCCGCCGCGGGGTCTTCACGAGCCGCCCTGCCGAGGCGCGCACGCGCTCTTCCAACAGCCTTTGCGAGCAGGCACTTTTTGCGAGAGGTGGAACGCGCTCGCTGAGCTCTCGCAGCATGACCCAAGATGCTCCTGGCCGGTCGCGGCCCTTTCTGGCGCTGGCCTCGCAGAGAGAAGTGCGCCCGCCCGAGCGCTTCCAGGCGCACAAACGCTCGGGCGCCCGCACGACCTCTCGGATCGCCGCGGGATCCCCCTCCCTGGCGCGCGGAGCGACCCAGGGACGGCGCCGGAGGCGCCCCCGAGCGGCGCGCCCAGCGCCGCCCCCGGCGCCGCCCCTGGCTCGGGGAGGCGTCAGACTCGGGCTCGGCGGGCGCGGGCGGACAGCGAGACAGCGAGACTGACGGGGCCGTCGAGAGGGAGGCGGCGAGACTCCGCCGGCAACCGGACGCGAGCTCCCGCTGCACGCCTGCCGCGGAGGCCGGGCCGCCAGAGCGCAGGACGGGCCGCCAAGCAGCGCCAGGAGACCCGAGCCGTGGCGAGCTCGAGTCCCACGTCTCCCCGGCCGGCGCGCTCCGCGCGCCAAGGGCGGGGAGGCCCGGCGCCGGGCCGCGGGAACGGCGCGGCCCCCCGGAGGTGCTGCAGGACGGGGGCTTGCACCCAAGTCCGGCGCGTCCCTCTACAGGAGGAATATTCAGAAATAGCCCAAAAAATCGCCGGCCCAACGGGCCAGAGGCGTGCTAAGATCTCCGGTAACTGCTAACAGTATTTCTAGTTCGCGCGCGCGGGGCGGCCCCTGGAGGCCCCCGGACGAAAAGTACCCCGGCTGATCCCCGGCTGACCCCCGGGCGATCCCCAGGGGGGAGGCTATTTTTCGCCACCCCTCACGAGGATCGTGGCCTCCGAGGGGGTGGCTGCAATCGACTAACCCCCCCCCTGCCCCAAGGGGCCCCCAAGAGCCCCCCAAGAGGCCCCCGGGGAGCCCAAGACGCCGCCGAGGAGCCCCAAGAGACCCCCAAGAGGCCCCCAAGAGGCCCCTAGGAGGCCCCAAAGAGGCCCCCAAGAGGCTTCAAAGAGGCCCCGTAGAGCGCTCGAGGGCCGGCGGAATGAGCGAAGCGATGAAATAATGAGAAGACGACTTGTGGACGATTTTGGACGCTGCGGGGCCCATGTTGGGCCGCAAAACGGACCCCAAACCAGGTCAAACCCCGCCGGGTTTTTACTGCAAGACGGACGCGGTTGCGACCCAACGCGGAAGTGCTGTCGTTTGAGCCGCCCTGGGCTTCTCCAAGACCGCCTCGGGGCCTTCTTAGCCTCTTCTTGGGCCCTTTTCGGGTTCCTCTTCGGCCCTTCTTGGCGCCTTGCCGGCCGGATCACCGCCAGGGTATCCATCGGGGCAACCAACCGCTCGGGCAACCGCCGAGACTAGCAACGGGAAAAGAATCCGGGCAACCGTCGGGACAAGCACCCAGACATCTACCACGGCACGCCACGGGACAGTCATCTGGTCAGCCATTGGAGAACCCACTCCAAGAGCCACCTTCCCTGCCATCGGATCAATCGACTGCGCAAGCGCGACAAAACCACGAGACTGCCACGCCACCGTATGACACAAGCCCACCACGGGAGCATGCCGCCTTCCCTACCATCGGATCAGTCGACTGCACAAGCGCACCACAAGCAGCAGCAGCACTAACACCGGCACCATCAGCACCATCGCCAGCAACAGCAGCAGCGGCACCCGCACTGCACCGTACCACCAGCAGGAGCGACAACAGCAACACCAGCAGCAACACCAGCCGCAGAACCACCACCACTAACAGTAGCAAGTACGACAAACCTACTGTCGAACAGCCACGGGGCATGCCTGAGCATACTAGGCGATAGCATAGGAAGAGAGAACGCGGGACAAAAACAACAAACCACACGACTTGTATGAATTCCTGCCTATGTTTATCCCGTCATGGAGCCGTCTTCGCCTCGTCCGGCGAGAACTGGAATGGGCGGGCGGTGAACGCGAAGCGTCTTGAATAATGAGAGGACGACTTGTGGACGATGTTTGACTATTTTCGGTCTATTTCGGCGGGTATTTTTCATTTCTCGTCCAAAACCCGCGTGTAGGAGGACAGGCCCGACCTAACCTTACACGTCGGTCGGAAGAAGCAGGTAAAACATGAAGTAGGAAGGCGGATGAAGCAGGTTGGGCTCAGGCCCTCCCAGAGAACAACAAAACACAGCAAGAGCAGATCGGTTCCTGAAGCAAGAAGGCGCTTGGAGTATGTTGGCATCCCGGAGCCCACAAGCACCTGCTTTCTACGACCGGCGTGTATCGATACAGAAGCGAGTTCGATTAGAGAGAGGACACGCGAAGGGGCACAAGGGCTCCTCCGAGGGCGGCACGGCCCTGACCCAGGGTGCCCTTGCCTCTGGAACGCAGCAGACATGAGACGTCATCCACAGGACACAATTGGCGGCGAGCCAAGGGGAAAGTGAGAAGGGGCGCGCCTCACCATCACCATCACCATCACCATCATCATCATCATCATCATCATCATCATCATCATCATCATCATCATCGTCATCGTCATCGTCATCGTCATCATCATCATGGTGATCATCATCATAATCATCAACATCATCATCCTCATCATCATCATCGTCATCAGCAGCAGCAGAAGCAGCAGCATCATCATCGTCATCGTCGTCATCATCATCATCACCATCACCATCACCATCATCATCATCATCATCATCATCATCATCGTCACCATCGTCATCAGCATCATCATCATCAACAATAGCATCATCATCAGAATCATCACCATCATCGATATGAGCATCGTCATCAGCGCCATCAGCAGTATCACCGTCATCATCATCAGCGTCAGCGTCAGTATCATGATCGGTATCATCATCATCAGCAATATCATCCTCATCATCATCTTTATCACTCAGCATGAGCATATGCATTATCACTAACTGCATTATCAGCACAAGCAGCGTCAGCGTCAGCGTCATGATCATCATCGGCAGCATCAGCATCAGCATCATCAGCATCATCAGCATAACCATCATAAACAGCATCATCATCATCATCATCATCATCATCATCATCATCATCATCATCATCATCATCATCATCATCGTCAGCACAATCATCAGCATCAATATCTTCAGCATCAACCTCAGCATCAGCATCAACATTACCATCGTCATCATCATCATCAGCATCATCATCATAATCATCATCAGCATCAGCATAATCATCATCATCGCCGTCATCGTACGCGCCCCTGTAAAATCGCACTCCGAGGTAATGCTGTTCCGTGCCAAATTCTGGCCTCAGAAAAGATCCACGACAACCATGCGGATCCAAGTTGGCCTCAAGCTGCTCAAGCTGGTTCAGCATGCCTCGAAGACAGCCCAAGATGCCCACAGGACGACCACAAAGGCCCCCGAGACAGCCCGAGAGAGCTCCATGAGACGCTCCAGGAGGGCCCCAAGAAGCCAGGATCATTCATTCCCCTTAAGGAATTTCAATGTTGTTCGCGTGCCCGCCATTTCGAGCTTCCGACACCCCAAGACGGCCCGAGAGGCCCAACACGGCCTGCGAGGGCCCCACGAACGACAGCCCAAGAGACCTCCTCCAAGACGGCCCGAAAGCGCCCCAAGAAATCTCCACAAGACGGCCCAGGCAGGCCCCCGACACAGCTTCCGAACATGTCCGACGGGCCCAGAGATCCCTAAGACCGCCCAAGAGCTCGCCGATATGTACAGCCCAAGAGTGCTCAAAGAGACTCTCCAGGAGACCCCGAATAAGCCAGAATCATACATTCCTCGATGGAAGGTCAAGCATGTTCGCGTTCCCACTTGTTCTTAAGGCTTCTGGCACCCCATGACGGCCCCAGAGGCCCAACACGGCAAAAGAGGGCCCAACGACAGCCCCAGAGACCTCCAAGACAGCCCGAAAGCGCCTCAAAGGGATCCCCACAGTGCGCAACCCAAACGATGTTATACTGTTCTGTGTTGTTATGGTGCTGAACATGTTGAGTTGTTATGTTCTGTTGTGTCTTCGTTATGGTGTTTGGAACATTCCAAGTGTATTCGTTCTGGTGTTCTGGGAAGGTAAAACTGAACGGAGGGAGGTTAAAACGGGACGGAGGGAGGAACAAAAGGGACGGAGGGAGTGCAAAATGGAACGAAGGGACGGTAAAGCGGAACAGAAGGAAGGCAAAACGGGAAGGAAAGAACATAAAACGGAACAGAGGGAGGATAAAACGGAACGGAAAGAGGGCACAACGGGACAGAGCGGAGGGAGCGAGTGCAAAACAGCCCGGAAGGAGGTAACGCGGGACGAAGGGACGGTAAAACGAAAAGAGTGGTAAAACGGAACGGAGAGAGGGCAAAACGGAACGGGAGGGAGGCTTACACGAGGGAACGACGATAAAACAAAACGCCAGGCAGGGTAACACGAACGGGGAAAGGATAAGGCGAACACACAGCGAGATGAAACGAAACGGAGGGAAGGCAACCCGAAAGGGAACGAAGGTAAAACGAACGGGAGGGAAGGTAAACCAAAAAGGTAAGGGCAACACGTAAGAACAAAACAACCAACAAAACAAACACACGCTGAGCGCACTTTCAAAAACAGCACGCCGGAAAGAATTACCCCGAGTCGCAACAAAACAGACCACAACACCAGCTGGTATGAAATATCCAAACACAACAAATACAAAACACGATGCGTCGCAGGACCCGAAACAGAGCATACAACAGAACGCATCGCTCGGACCTCCAATTGGCGTCATTCTCCATATGCACTTAAACCAAGAACAAAACACGTTTAGAACAAAAACAAAACAACAAACCAAAACACTCCAAATGTACAACAGAACAACGTTTAGGTCGCGCGCTGGATCCCCAAGACGGCAGAGACAGGCCCCCAACACAGCTTCCGAACACGTCCGACGGGCCTAGAGACCCTTTTGACGGCCCAAAGGCAGCCGATTCAGCCCGAGGGGGCATCAAGGGGCCCTCCAGCCAAGAAGCATTCCGATTATTATTGTCCACGAGTTTCGCGTTCCCACCTTTTTCGGGCTTCTGACATCCCAGGGCGGCCCAAGAGGCCCCCAAGACGGCCCCAAGGGGGCCCCAAGACGGCCTCCGAAGGCGTCAGATTGGCCACGAGAGCTCTTGGACTGCTCGACCCCCGATACAGACCATCAGGGCTCCAAAAGACCCCTCAGGAGGGCCCGAAGAAGTCAAAATCAATCATTGCTGTATGTCATTTCAATTATTATGTTCGCGTTCCCACCTATTCAGGGTTCCGACAGCCCGAGGCGTCTCCAGAGGCCCCAGGCCCAAAAGGCCCCAAAGACGGCCCAACGACGGCCCAAAAGACCTCCAAGACGGCCCGAAACCGTTCTAAGAGGATCCCAAGACGGCCCAGAGAGATATGCATATAGCCAGCTAGGCGCGGATGCATTCAGACTTTTCTGAGATCCAACATTGCGAACAAAAATACAACACCGCGACACATCACTAGGGCAACTATCTTCGCGAGCAGCGCTCCGCAAAACGCGATCGTATTCGCACTTTCGCGCCGCCCCCCCCCCCCCCAGAACAGTTCGGTGGCAACTCATGGGAGCCTCCCATACCACCTTGTTGGCTCTTGCGAATCGACGGAAATCGACTCTAAATCGACGCTAATCGACGATAACCGACGCTAAATCGGCGCTATCTCGTCCACTCCCAGACGCTAATCGACGCTCCTCGACACTGAGGACAGAATTACGAGGGTACAGAAGGCTCCCACGATTCGCTTCCGAAGAACAGGACGAGGGACCCGTGCCTCGCTCTGGCATTGCCCCGAAAAGCTGTACTGGGTGGGGGGTGACGCATGCGGGTGGTGCCACTGGGGCCCTCGGTGGAGCTCCATTTGGGGCCACGGGACGCTGTTATTGGGTGGGGGTGACGCATGCGGGCGGTACCACTCGGGCCTTCGGTGAAGCTCCCAATGGGGCCACGAAACGTGTGAGGGGTGTGCTGAAACGGGTGAGGATGATGATGCTGATGATTGATGCTGATGATTGGTGATGATGAATGATGTTGCTGCTGCTGATGATGATGCTGATGAGGATGAGGATGAGGATGAGGATGAGGATGAGGATGAGGATGCTGATGGGGATGAGGATGAGGATGAGGATGAGGATGAGGATGAGGATGAGGATGAGGATGAGGATGATGAGGGAGGATGAGGATGAGGATGAGGATGAGGATGAGGATGAGGATGAGGATGAGGATGAGGATGAGGATGAGATGATGATGATGATGATGATGATGATGATGATGATGATGA